CCCCCTTTCCCCCCGCCGCTCGCGCACTGATGCTTTAGAAAGACAAAACGCGCGAGCTGCCACGCCGCAGCCACGGTGGTTTTTTCCCCCCTTCAGAAGCATGGAGAAATACTTTGGCGTGCCAAATCGGCCGGCAGACACACCCTTCCTTCTTTTCCTCTCTTGCTCGGGGCGGCGCGCGGACGCGCTGCACTTTTGTCTTCCGTTCTTGTTTTTCATCGCATTTTTCCTTCTCCGCCTAGCCGCGCCGCGTCCGCCCCCTGCCCTGCGCTCCTCCTCGACCCGTCAGTCTGGAGTCCGTGTCCGCGCCGCCGCACCTCGCCCCACCAGGCGGGCGCAGAGGAAGACTGGCTGGTCCGAACCAAAAAGCCATGCGCTCCGCTGGCAAAAGTTTCGCCCCTTGTAGCGAGTGAGAAGGAAGTTGACCATCTTTTTCCCGTTTCGATACATTTCAGGAGCGAGGGTGGCACGGGCCGCACGTACGGTCCGCCTGCCCCCACCGAGCCCCTCCACCCTCTACGCTGTGACGTCACATGCAATACAAATAACAGTCGCCGCACAACGGGACATACCATGACATCGCTCTGTCCTCGCGGGCTAACGTAAGTGCATGGTATGCGTACCTTTGTCACGTTATAACGAATGTGACATTGCAGTATTCTAACCGATGTTTCACGAATCACAGTCGTCCTGTCCTGTAAATATGACATCAGTGTTTAAAGAACTGTGACACTGTCAATTTACGATTTGTGTCGTAAATTTACGACTCGCGCATTTTCGGTGGTCGAAAGAATGAGTCGATATTGTCATTAGAGTTTGATAATTTTACCATTTAAAATCGTTTAAGATTTTATACACGATTTCATACACAACCACTGCACGAAAAGTGTCGCAACAATAAATGTATTGTACACATAAACGCGGAATGATGTGTGTATACTTGTGGTGTGGTGAGCTTCAACTCTTCAACCCCCTCCGTGGGCGAGCTAATGGTGACGCAGCGGAACGCCCAGAGGAGGCCCGGGGCCCTTGTTGGAACAGGTGGGTGTGGCGTCGCCATGGCGTGGCGTGTGCGACCAGAGAAAGTGACAGATTCCACCCGGGGACAATCGCTGCTCGCGGGCTCGCGCGGGGCTCGCTGTGCCGAGGAGGTGGCCCCGCTGCGTGACTTGGCGTGACTGGGGGAGGGCCAGGACGCCGCGCCACGCCACGCCCACACTTGATACCGGGAGCAGCAAGAGGTGGGGAGGAGGTTGAGTAACTCTCACTCACTCTCACGTGTGCCGTGCTGCACGGCAAGACGACACACTCATACTCACTCTCCCTCCCTCCCCCTCTCTCCCTCCCCCGCACACACACACACAAACTCTTTCTATGAAGGGTAACGATTCCCGTACAAAATTACTAATCCAGTTTTCCTAAAAGTTATTTTCCTAGCTCCGCGATGCCTAATTATACTATTTTCCTGAACCACTTTTCAAAAATTTTGACCATCATTACTGTCGCTGAAAAGGAAAAAAATACATGGGGGACTGTTACGACTCGACAGAATTTAGGAGATGTACTAATGCCCTATTTTACCTGCATATTTGCTGCTTACAAAAATGACACATAGTCCATTAAAACGAAATTTCAAATCAAAAAACTCCATTTTTGCATGACTTTGCATTACTTGACTATTACCCAAACAATTACCGAACGACTGACTCGACTATTACCTGAGTAGATACCCCCTCGTGTTTTACAGTGTACCTTCGGGCTGTGGACCACGCCGTCAACACCTAGGTTAGAAGAACTGGAATAGGTAAATTGAAAAATAGGAAAAGGAAATAGGAATTCGAAATTTAGGAATAACGAGTTTAGGACATTATTACGTTAGGAAAAGTGGAGTAGGAAAACTGGGTGGGAAGGAGGGTAACAAGGAAGAATTGAAGGCGGCCACACAAATCACGTCATGATTTTAAAGGGACAGAATGGGTAATTTTACGACCGAATGAAACAAAACAGCCTCTGTTTTGGGGATGTAGGCTGAAGTTAGTTGGGGTAATCGAAAATCGGATGCCTACATCGAGAGGTGGGTTCTCACCTTACGATCAGTCTTCGGATCAGATACCCTTTCCCGATGACATCTATAGGGGTGCATTTTTTGAGACAAAATTATTGTTTTGATCACCGTGATAAACTATCCCTTTGTATCGTATCTAATTCCTGCAAGAGCTTGGGGCGTGTTTGGATCTGTGGGAGGCGGAGCGTGAAGCATCCGAGAGGAATGGGCGTGATCTGGGCAGGCAAGCCCGCTGGACACCGATGCCGCCGTGCAGCCTGCTTTGTTACCTCGGCTCGGCTGCAGGCGCTGACAAACTTGCTCGCCAACCTCCTGCTCCACCCGACAGCTGCACCACATCGCAGCCCTTTTGCAGTGCGTGGTGCAGAGTAAACTATGAGAGAATGAGCGGTGCGTACGCGGCCCCTCCCGGTCTTGATGATGGTCGTGTCGCAGGCTAATTGCCCGGATCGTCCCCCCCCCCCCCGCGGGGCCGGCGGCGCCTCGTCTTGGGCTGTGCACTTGCGGCTTGAGCGGACAAACTTTGGCTCAAGGAGGGGAGGGGGGACGGCGCACAAAGGCTGGAGAGCATTTAGGCCCCAGCAATGGGCCGCTTGGAGAGTGGAAATCGAGCATTCACTGGAAAACGCAAGTGTGTGGATGTCGCACACTTGCAGATGTGTGAATGCCCATTCGTACACTTAGGGGGGTAAAGGTGTGATTTCCCCTTTGAAATTAACACACGTGTGCTTCCATTATGTGTACGGATGTCGTTCACACGCAATTGGGTTTCCGGTGTGTTAAGGGTCGACGCGGGTCGTAGTGTGAGTGTGTGCGAGCGCTTTATACTCGTTGCTCCGCGTACTGGTGACCCTTGGGTTCCTGCTCGCTCGGGGCGCTCCAGGCAGCAGGCAGAAGGGCTGCCAAAAGGCGGTCAAGGTCCGCGCTGCGCCGCCTACACCCAGAAAAATGGAAAGTCGTATCAACCATCGTGTGGTTACTTCAGGGACAACTATAATATGGTTAAGAAATTAACAATCCTACACTTGTCGGAACTATGTTTTCGTTTTGAGAACAATTTTAAAGTTATCTCAACCATCACTTTATGGTTGTCCCTGAAGTAACCATACGATGGCTGTGACAACTTTTCATTTTTCTATGTGTAAGATCGAGGGTGTTCGACTCGGACGACGGTCGGGGGAGGCCCCAAACCCACGAGTAACCCTCAAGATATAATAATCCCCAGCAGCTGTTGAGATTGAAACGGCAGCCGGGTCCAGCTGGCCGCCCAGCCCCGTCGGGGATTTGGGACGGACATAGCCTCTTGCTGCACTGCCAAACGCTGCCTTGTTTGACGATTATTTGATAGATTCATCAAACAAAGCATCTCGTTGCAGAACAATAATTGCTTGTTCCGAAACGGGAATTCACAAAAATGGCGCAAATTTTTAGAGGATGTTTACAGAACGGAAAAGACCTGCTTGTTGCCGTGTTGCTGTATTTTGTTAATTCATTGTCGATATACATTATTATATTTTTGTCTTACGTTAGTTACAAAAAAAAAAGAAAAAAGGGTTTAAATGATTTTGCAAGGTGCCTTTTTTGAAAAGTTTGTCCGTCAAAATGCGCTTTCAGAAGAGCATGATTATTTTACTGTGTGCGAACCACCACCCCATTTCGCATCAGCATCACCAGGGTGGGCAGGAGAGGGGGGAGAGATGAAGTGGGGTGAAAAGAGGGATGGCAGTTAAGACGCCGCCCCTTGCTGGCAATTGTTTGCAAATCCGTGCTGCGGCCGCGCTGCGGCGAGGCGGCGTGATCTTGTCGTCTTGAAGGATTCTCTGCGACGAGCGGCCAGAGGGAAGGCCCAAGGGGGGCTCTGATCAGGTGTGGCTCCACCTGGACCATCGCGGTGTGGCGGCGGCGGGCAGCGGCGCAGGTAATGGTGGTCAGTGCCGCGGGGTGGGGCGGGCGGGGAAGGGCGGGGCGGGAGGTGACGAAGCGAGACGGCCGCGCCACGCCGCAGTCAGCCTGGTCACGATAATCGTCCCTCTCGCCCGCGCCTCCAAAGCTGCTCTACGCGGTCAGGGTAGGGTCGCCTGCGGTTCTCAAAAGTTACCGATGATTGGACTTTATTTTTCTTTGCAGCGAGGCGGGCTGGTCATTTTTATTTTGTGTGGTGGTGTTTTCTTAAAAATGTGCGTTTTCTTTCAATTCTGATGTTTTGATGTTATCTAACCGCGGCCGCCCCCGTGCTAAAGACGCTTGTCCCGCCTTTTCTTTTCCCTCCTTCTCACGGTGTACCCTTTGTGCAGGCGGGGTCCACCATGACGGACTACGAGCGCCTCAAACGGGCGTGCATCAAACGCGGGGAGCTGTGGGAGGACCCGGACTTCCCCGCCACGCAGACGTCCGTCTTCTACCACCAGACGCCGCCGTTTCAGTTCCAGTGGAAGCGACCCAAGGTGAGTTTTGGTTTCGGTTGTTGTTCGAGGCTGACTCGATGTCCGCGCGCAGAGCTGTGCGGAGAGGAAAGTGTTACGACACGGAGAAAAGGAAAAATGCGTGTCCGCGCGCGCGTTTTCTCTCTTTACTTCGCCGCGCTGCTGCAATTCCGATTTCGCGTGCTAAAACTCTTTCAGTTAGTTACGCCCCTGCGCTCAGTCTTGTTGATGAGGCCGCGGCGCCTTCGACCGCGCGGTTTATTGAGGCAAATCAACGCCAACTAACCGCCGACCGCTCCGGCACGGCTCTGCGGGCGCCGCGGCGGGGATAAAGATGTAACCAACAACTCAAACTGTTATTTCAATGAATAAAGACTTTGAAAAGTCATTGGCAAAGTTCGCTAAATACTTTTTTAAGTATGCTTCGGAAGTGTTCGTGATGAAAATTTTCGATTGTCATAAAATTACAAACATCATAAATTTAAGAGTGCCTTTGTAAATTTGTTCATAAGTTTACAATTGCACTTGGGATGCAAAGTTTTTGAAACACGCGGCTGTAAAATTTCAGCCAATTTTCAGTTCAGAAATTTACATTTCGTAATTATTCAAGTCCGTTCCACCCGTGTATCGGGCTGGTGCCGGAGTGTGTGCTTGTTTGGGTGCGGTGTGTCGGCGGGTGTGTCGGGGAGTGCCACCCTTCGTCCTCGTCCCATCCCCAGAGTAGCGACTGATTTCCATGCCAGTCAGAGCCGTGCTGTGTCACGCATAAGTCCACCACACCTTGAGGGGGGGGGGGCATCCATTTACATTTCGCACGTGCTTCCCGACCGCCCTGCTGCTGCTGCATCTGCCGCCTGCGTCGACGTTCATTCAGCAGCACCACACCCCGCACGACACGACCTTGAGCAAACCGTGTGCGAAGATTATTTCAGTTCGTTGTAAAATGTACCCCACCTCCTTTAAAATTGTTTAGGCTCAGATTGGGTAATAATTACACTTGGTAAACTAATTGTTCAACTGCTCAACACTTGCAACACTTGCAAGTGGGCAACTGCAAGTTAAATACTTGCAAGTAACTGTGCAACTGAAATTTGAATACTTGCAAGTGTTAAACTTTGTAGGTGAGCACTTACAAGTGTGTCATTCCTCGGGTGAGCACATCGTACACAGTGAGCGTTAGATTCGTTTTTGTATGCATTTATTACCAGACCTGACCCTAATTTACGCACGACCCCCTTTTTGTGCACCTTTCTGTGTTGCTGGATGATAAAATGGTAATCCGTTTGCGCGTTTGGAAAGGCTGTTGGTAACCCTGGCCGGGAGTGGGCGCCGCGGGTACTTTCGCCGGCGGCGTGGGAGTCGCCCGTCGGAAGCGCCGCGCGCATTTTACTCGATAATTGACTGCTGTGCTCTTTTGCGCGTTTGTAAAGATGATTTATCAGCGCGCAATTAGTAATGAGATTCGGGCGTGTTGACCCTCTGCTCGCGGGGCTGTCTTGGGCTGTCCCGCGGCTGCAAACGGGTTCCGCTCTGCGTGTCGCGCGGGTCGAGCTCCTCCGGCAGCTGCTGCCGCTGCCCCGACGCCTGCAGAGAGCTGCTTTATTTTTCATCTCCCGCCTCGCTGCCAACGACATTCCGCGCCCGTGAGTGTGGACGCTGCTGCCTGCGACGTCGTTTCTGTTAATATTGGAAGAGCGGCTGTAGTGTCGCGGAAGGCAAAAAGGGGAACGCCCGAACCACTGTAGGCCCGACCAAAGCCATAGATATGAGCCGAGTTCCGAGTCAGCCTCGTCAGCTTTGGTCCTGGCTACGTCTAGCTTGGCACATATCGGACATACTGCTTGCACGCTAAAAGTGACTGCTTGGTTTCCAAGCAAATGTAGTGATTTCCAAGCACTTAAGCGTGTGGGCCTACAGTGGTTCGTTCTCAACTCTGGGCGGGCTCATGTCCAGACACTAGAGCCATCCAGAGGGCTATCATGCGCAGCAATGAATGGTTATTGGGAAAAATAATTTTTGTAAATTTTCTAAAGCTTTTGTTGGTTGCTCGGCGCTGGGCAGACAAAAATATGTTAGCATGTAAACAAAAAGTTTTGTAAGTTGAAAATCCTCCAAAGAAAGTTTCCCACCAATTTTTTGCTTTGCTACTTTAGAGCGTTTTGCTATTCCGCTAAATGTTTTGCAGAGGAACTAATTGCCGCCGCGGTTTACCCGTTGATTCATACAATGGATGGAGACGTGAAGCGCTTTGATCAGATAAAGGCGCCGCGGCGTGGCCTGTGCGGCGCTGTGCGGCCGGCGCAGCTGCGTGCCGTGAACCCTGACCCTGCCCAGCACGCGGGCCAAGGCACGCCCACCTGTTTGTGCGAACCTAACCTCAAACTTAATTGAAGTCAAGGGGGGGTCACGCATTCCTCCCCCGCCCCCCGCCCCATCCCGCGAGCCGCGCCCGTTCGTAAAACGGGAAAGTGCGCGCAGATGCCGTATTTTTTTGGTTTTCGATGCCGATGCCTTAGCTTTAGTATTTGTTTGTTTTTTAAATCAAGTTTTTTCGAAGGATATGGTTGACGCCTCTGCAACACGCTTAGCTAATGGCTCCCCGGCTGAGCGTGGAAAACTTTTAAAAGCTCGGTGCGCAACAAAAGGCTCTCTGCGGCTCTCGCCATGATCCTGATTGGCCGGACAATAAACACGGCAAACACAGACAATGGCCAATAGTGTTGCGGGGCGGCGGCCGTGCCGAGGAAAGTTAGTCGGACGGTGGCTTTCGCCTTCATCGCTGTCCACGGCCGCGCCGCGCCGCCCCGCGCAGAGCGCCGTGCCCCGCAGCAGCACGGATGGACCGGCGTCCCAGATTTTAACTTTTCATTTTAGCCGGCCACCGGCCACTCAGTGAACTTTTATCTCGGCGAGACCCGCCGCCCGCGCTTCCGAAACATACAACGCGCGCGCGTCACAGTTTACTTTCACTAAAGAGGGAGGGCGTTCCGAAAATTGCAAGGAGAGGGTGCTTTTAAAACTGGAAGTAAAAAGGGCCCTACAGGAAGCCTGATGAGAATTTAGTGTGACCTATTTTTTTTTTTTAATTTTTTTTGTGGCAGTGTGGGATGCACTGAGTACCAGGTACCGGTCAGGGAGGCCAGCTTAGAAAGCGGGAGGGAGGAGGACCCTCACGCAAGACTGCCAAGCTACCGGGTCTCTCTCTCTTTCTCTCTCTCTCTCTCTCTCTCTCTCTCTCTCTCTCTCTCTCTCTCTCTCTCAGACACACACCTACACACACATACGTTCACCACATTAGTAGTCGCGCCAGCGGGAGAGATAGCTTGCTTTACCTAGCTAACTGATTCTTCAGAAGGAAAGTCCAAGCCAATGATGGTGCATTGCGGGAAACAAGTATGTTGGGATGGGAGTACACCTATAGAAAAAACGTTAACACTCGAGTTGAGTTCAGCACCTCTATCGGTGTTAACAAATAGACGATCCGAATTTAAGAAGATCTAATACAAAATTATTGCTACTAATTAATTACGTTATTGCTTTCTAGAACTAGAGTAGTTACGACTCTTTGTTCTGAGATTCATGGCCTTGTGCGTTGTTGTTGTTCGTCTTTGCTGACACTGACCCTACACAAAACCCCCAATGCGGAACAAAACCGGGGACTAACACTTCTTATGAGTTCTCTTGCGAGACCAGGCAGTTGTTGGGCGAGTGAGCGGCGACGTGGTGATCGCCCTCGCTTTGGACGAGCGCTAGACCGAGCAACCAGAGGTGCTCGTCGTTGGAGTCGAAGCCTCGGCGGCCCTGCGCCCTGGCCTGGGACACCTTCAGGCCAGGCTTGGAGGAGTGTTGAGTGTATATTGTTTGTGGGGCTGGGAGCGCCTATGGGGCAGAGGTGAGCATCGGGCGGTCCGCCTGGACCGGGATGGTCCGAAAACGACGGGTGGAAGTGAGACGCTCGAGCTGGCCAGAGCTCCAACTCACTCGGACTTCTCGCTTTCCGGACCATCCCGGTCCAGGCGGACCGCCCGATGCTCACCTCTGCTATGGGGCGTGGCCTAGCGCACAGTCGTGATTGTTGGCGGGCGGGGGAAGTTGGGACGAACAGCATAACGCACCGCTCCCCCGCGCGCCAAACGTGCTGGTATAGATCGTCTAAAAAGGAACCATACTGCCGAGAACTTTTCTGCCTGAAAAAACGCTAAAAGTCTGGTTTTGTTCTGTTGCCTCGCGCAGGCGACCATCGTATTTTTTGTAGTGCTGGTGCTGCTGAGGTTGTTCGCGTGTCGTACGCGTCCCGCTTTGTCAAACGGCCGGCCGAGTAAGATGTCAGCGAGGCGCCGCGCAGCGCCGGCCTGGGCCGGGCCGGGGGCCGGCGGACGTGTTCCACAAGCACTCGCTCTCCGCGGTCTAGTGACCTCCTCCGCATGGAGCGGGGGAGGTGCTGGGGTCACAGTTGCAACACCTCAGCAATCAAACAACAAAAAAAGCCGCATTCGACCGTTACTGTAAAACTTGAGTGTCGAGTGTCTTGTGGATTGAATGTCTGAGGAACTAACTTTTAAGTTATGGTGTGCTTTTCACTACCTCACTGGTAGAACAAAGGTAGGATATCCTACCTTTAAAAGGCGTTAAAGCTCCAAAGGCATTACAGTTTATGTTTTTTCGAAATATTTCTTTCCCATAGAACAAAATTGGATTCTGAAACCTATTTTCGTAATCTACGCGAAATTCCGCGTCAAACGAGCCTACATATGATGGGGTTCTGTTCAAAAATGGCGTAGATTGATTTCATTTTTTGTACTTTTTGACTTGCCTTTTCGTTGGCTGACCGCTTATTTGAACCCTATCACATGTAGGCTCGTTTGACGCGGAATTTTGCGAGGAATGCGATAATGAATCTCAAAATGTGATTGGTTTGCTCATATAGAAAATATTTTTCAGAAACTGAAAATATACTCTTTAGCCCCCCAAAAACGAGTTTAAAACCCCTGGAAAGGTAGGACATCACACCTTTGTTTTTCCAGTGCTCTGTCGACTTTCGTCCAGCGGATTCAGTGCTATGGGATCATCCATGCAAGCTCGCATAGCGCCTGACATGTAGGCAAAATCTTGCCTGCAGTGCATGCGTGTACGACGGGGCGGCCTACCCCGAGTCTCGCAGGCGCCGAGCTCCCGTAATGTGCTGCGCGCGTAAATCTAGTCGGGAGACTAAATATTTTTTTCGCTGCGCCACGTCGTTGCTAACTTTTGCCGTTGTGCGGTTGCGGTGTGACCGTGACGACATGGGTGCCCGCGCGTCGGCTGGCCGAGCCCCTTTGGAGCCCCCTCTAGGGCACGAGGGCCATGTGTTACATCAGGCCCAGCCGTTGGCTCCCGGGGGCCAGGGTCATCCACCCACCGCCGGCTCCCTAAAGACTGTCGAACCGAAACGAGTGCAACGACAACCTCTTCTGTGCGGTTAGTGCGGTTTTTACTGGAGAGCAGTTAAAAAAAATAAAAAAACAAAACAAAAAAAATAACGGGCCTGTGCATTTTTTTGCAATTTGCAGTGTTGTACGCAGACCCCGGAGAGTAACACTGTGCCGGATGCAGGGGCGTGGACTCGTTGCATAGTTGCATACTAGCAATAATACACCATAAGGTACTGCTATTTTTAGCGTTCTGCCTCTGTAGAATATACGTCTCCCTGGAAAGGTTTGGTCGTGTGCTGCTGGTCTTGGCAGAGGCCGCGCTGGCAGGGTGTGTAGGCAGCAGGCGGTGGGGCGTCCACCCGAACGGACGACCGTGTCACTGACCTCGCCGCCATCGCCACCTCGGCCGCCGCTATCCGCCCCAGCCCAGCTCCTCTGCGCTCGACCACATGTCATATGATGTTGTGTACGGCCTCGGCCTTCACAGAGAATTTCATCTGCTCGTTACTTTAAAAATAAAACGAGCTTGCAAACCTGCTCTGAAAAATATCGTTGCAGCTCCGCCTCGCTGCGATGGCAAACTCTGTTCTGCTAGGGGTGGCCTAGTTTGGTCTCGTGTTGGGATTTGGTTGGGCCCTCTCAGGGCCGACCTATAAGTCACTATACACTGTAAAAATGTACTAAACAAAAAATTGTGATGAACAATTTTTCTTGTTCATCGGTATCAAGAACTTGCATGCAACAATTACAATAAAGTCGTTTGTATTTAACGAGTAACATAGTCAAAGCAGCAACTTAATTTTTACCACCTGCGAAATATTTGCATACAAATCAAAAATGTTGCTGACGATTATTACAATTTTGGGGCAACAAATGAGTTTTTAGTGGGGAAAAATACGTGAAGACACTCGCTCATTTTATATTCATAGCTTTTGTCGTCACCGCCAGTCAATAAGGGGACGCGCCGCACGCACACATTGTGGGCATTAGGAACAATATGCGTTGCAATTCAAGCAGCACTTCCATTACCTTCGCTCGCGCCGCATTTGCTTGAGCTTGCGAAACGGTCGTCTGTTTGTGTGTGTTATGCAGAGCGCGTCACATTTACTAGCACATATCTGTCGAAATGCGTTTTAATGAAAATTGCTACAACATTCTGAGGAAGGGTAGAGGGGGCGGTCCTTCTCTCTAGCGTTGCGGAGTTGAGGGAGGCGAGTGTTGCCTGCCTGTAGCGGTCTACGGCGAGCTCACCCCTGGGCACGCCCCCCGTCCAGCACGGCGACGTGACAGGCGGGCGGGCTTCCTGTATCATATTTCGATAATGGAAGTGTCCGTAGCCTTGACCGCAGAGAGGCGGTGGTGGGGGCGGGGCGGGGGCAGTGGGGGCGGTCGGCTGAGGCGTGCGACAGCATCGCCAAATCAGCCATTGTGTTCGCAGCGTTGCGCGGCCACCTCGCGGACGCGATGGGCGTGGTGGCGGTGGCTCCGCCGGGCCCCGCCTGCCTGGCGCGTGGGCGACAGCCGTCTCCTCTCGCTTGGTTTTGTTGTCCGGCTGCAGCGGCGGCGGCCTTGCTGCTGCGCGTCGTGGTGGCCTCAAGAGACGTGTTGCTGCGGCAGCGTCGGTGGCCGTACCGGTGTCGACGGTGCTTTTGGACCATTTCTTTTCGTGTGTTACGGCATTGGTAGATTCCTGCAAAGCAAAGCAACGCTTTGCAGGACTGCGAAGTAGTCAGATCCTTTGTAATTAAGCAGCATTCACTCAATCAGAAAGTGATGCTTTGCAATCGCAAAGCGATGCTAAGTAAATGCTTCGTAGTTACAAAGGATCCAACTGCTTTGGAGTTCTGCAAAGCATTGCTTTATAGGAATTTACCAGTATGGCTCTGCGCAGTTGGGCGACGACGTGGGACCGTCGTCCAGTCACAGGCGCTTCGCCGTACTGCTATGTAAACTGTCATCGCATTCATATGTGTTCTGATATGTTCTGCTCTCATGGTAGCATCTCTCAAACACTGTAAAAAGTATTTGCACATTTTACGGGTAAATTTTCCATCAGAAATGCTGTAAAGCTATGATTTCAAATTTTATAAGTTTTACAAAATCATTTATGGCACTTATTGACGAGGAAAAGTGGGCTTGTCGTTAATTTAAAACATTATTTGTGTTGTTAATTACAAAACACGCCGTAAATTAACAAAACAACAGATTATTTTTCAGTTTAAATTGTAGTTTGGCGACGCCTATTGTTTTTTCCCATCACATTATAATTACGTAGAGCACCAGGATGCCCGACGGACACCGGTCCCGGTGGAGCTGCAGCAGTTGGAGCTGATGATTTGATGTTGACAACAATGTCATCCCGGAATTAATATTTGGTAGACTGCGCTGGTCTGCCAGGCAGGCGACTGCTTAGTGCTTGCGCAACAAAAGCAAGGAAGCAGAGCTCTTTCTAGGACGGTGAAGACCTGGGCGTTATCTACCTCCGCACAGAACTAGTCAACCTATCTCATCTCCCGACAAAGGGAATCGATACTCTCCCAAGAACACCCTCCTTGTAAAAGAAACGGGTCTCTTTTCCAGTGGTGTAATGAGGAATAGAGAATAATTCCGCCGAATGTGGAAGAAGAAATAAAACAACCATAAAGTACCGGAGACAGTTCTAAAATCAGTATGAAGATCATATTTGTTCGCCGCTAAAGCACGGCACTGCTGGCACACCAACAAGTCCTGGATAAATATTTGTCCTTAAAAAAGCAGAAAATGATAATGATTTTATCAGTTTATGAATACTTGCGGTACTTTTTGATCCTATTTTCATTCCTCTTCCCCATTCGTTGGAATACTATTCCCTCTTTAACGACTTTGTAAAAAGATCAAAATAATGGGTTGCAAATATTGGGGGCTTGAGGAGTTTTGATGCGATTTAAAAGTGTGCTGCGTTCTACCTTTGTTTTATTTTACTTCGAATCGAAACTGACCTTTACCTGTTTTACTGGAAATATATATCACCGTCGACCTGATCGTCGTTTCGTTTAACGCCCCCGTTTTGTGTGTTTGCAGGAGTTATGCAGCCGGCCCGTGTTCGTCCACGACTCGCCCACACAGTTCGACATCGTGCCCGGAAAAATGGGTGAGTGGATGTTGCACATGCGTCAACACCTTTTTTCTCGAATTGACCTCACGTTGGCAATTTCACGTTTGTTTTGTTGACGAAAAAGAATATTATATATTCGTCGTCGGGATGTTTGTCTTTTTTTTTTACGGTTTTGCTAGAATTGCATGAAAAGCGGATGAAGGGGAGCAGTGATCGGGCCTCTCGCGCTGCAGGAAATTGGAAGCGCGGTGCGGAGGAAGAACCGAACCAGATGTAGTTCCGGTCGCACTGGGTGGCGGACGGACGGGCGGCAGCGCACAATTCTTGCGCTAGACCTTTTATTGATCCCCACCTTTCCTTTCTACAACATCAAAAGATATATTTTTTCAAAAAATTTCTTTTGTATATTTTTTTGTGTGTTAACGATATTGGAGAGGATGTGGTTACCTGTAGGTAAAATATGTTAATTTAACTCATCATCTCTTAATTACCTAGCATACTCGGTCTGGCCAGTCCAGTCGGCCTGGAGGTGACAAGTGCAGCAGGCTGTGGACCTCCGTCCCGTTCGTCTGGGAGAGAGACGCACAGCTAAAAATAAATATATTAATATTTGACAAGTTTTTGGTAACTCGATGTTGGAAGGACCTTTGTTGATCCGCCTTCTAACAGGGCTTTTTCTGACTGTCCAGGAGTGTTATCCGATGCGCCGTTATATTCATGGCTCCTGGTTTTCTTCTTTTAGAACAAAAACTAAAGCTTGGGCTGGGAGGGCAGCGGGGTGTGTAAAGGATGGGTGGAAAAATCTCTCCTGGACAGGAAGTGGTTTGGCGCTTGTCCAGCCGCCCTCCCTACATGCTGCACTCGAGCGCATTGCCAAGCGAACACCTTGCTGTGGAAAAAGAAGTGCGGATGGAGGGGGGGCAGGATGGGACCGAGGGAGGAGCTCGTCGGCGGAGGTGAAATCAATGCCTTGGTGCGTAATTACTCAATTTATTACGGATGGGTTTCTTTAATCTGCCACCCGGACAAACACCTGGGGCCGAGTGCCAAGTCAATTTGGCGGGGAAGGTGATCGTCTCAAGGAGGTGACACCATATCGTTTAATACACTGATAGAATCTGGTCGAAGATCGGACTGTAATTTAAGTGTGTGTGCCATGCCACGTGCATGAATCATGGGTCATTTTCGGATTAGTACGCCAAAATTGGAAACCAGAAAATGTTGATGTTGGTTTACATGAAGTCTTTGGCAGGAAGATTAGAGCTGATATGCATGATTCATATGCTTGGTGCACTTACCCTTGTCTGGCGCGACAGCAGCTGGTAAAGCCACGATCATTCCTCGGGTAAATTATGTTGTTTGCTGTCCTAGCACTTTGGTCCGAGGGGGCACCAACTTCGAATATTCACGGTTCACGCGTGGGTTAATATCTAATATGTATTCAGCTGATATTTGAGTCACATGAGAGTATTCGGGAAATTCAATAGTATTCATCGATATTAAACCAATATTCATATGTTAAGAACCTCCAACATTTCAAATAGCCATATGGCAAGGAAACCGCTTGAGCTACCACTGTTAAATTCCTGCAAAGCAATGCTTTGCAGAACTTGCGAAGCATTGAGATCCGTTGTAACTACGAAGTATTTACTTTGCCATTACAAAGTGCCGCTCTGCAATTGCAAAGCGATGTTTTGGAGCGTGTTTCGTTGCTTCGCAATTGCAAAGCATCACTTTGTAATTGCAAAGTAAATACTTCGTAGTTACACAGGATCTAACTACTTCGCAGTTCTGCAGAGCATGTTGCTTTGCAGGGATTTAACAGTGGACAGCTGTCCATAAAAAATATCTGGAACACATATGTGGGCTACAATTTGACTTGGGTAAGAACAAAATCGGGGATATGGTTGGTTCAACTGCTTTTGAATGGCGTTCTGAATCCCCGCCCTGTTACTGCAGTTACGTGCCCGTCCTTATTCCATTCGCCATTATCGCGCGGGTTTTAGCGATGCAGCTGGGTGTATTCCATTTGCAGTTAGGCTGCACTGGGACGGGCAGAGGAGAGCAGCGCGGAGCCTATTCCGGAGCAACTTGGCTCCCCGGAGCCATGTCAATAAAGTTCTCCTACTTACCGGGGCGCGAGCAGGAGGAGGAGTGCCCGCCGCTCTGCGTGCTCAGCCTCTCAAAGCCACTGGGGCAGAGGAGGGAGGTAAAATGCAGCGGGGCAGCAGCCGGCGCGGTGACGCCCCTGTGTCGTGCACACACACACACAGTGTGGCCTGAGGTGGTGGGGTGGGTGTAAAACAGTAGTTGCGCCATAAACGTAATGATAGAGTAGAGTAGCCTCGCGGCCCCTCTGGCCCCGCTTGGTCCACGCGGCGCCGGGGTTCCGCAGGCCGGGCCTTCCCCCTATAAAAGGAGGGCCGTGTCAGCGTCAGCACGGCAACAATGTAGCCGCCCAGCACGGGATGCCTTATTTTATTTATTTTTTCGACCGGCGCGGTGTGACGTTAAAAATACCCGAATATTTTATTTTTATTTTTGTTGCGTTGTATCGGGCGCTGGGCGGGCGGGGGCGGTGCAGGATGCGTAAAGCGAAGCTCCCGTGTCACGCGGCGGGACGTGTCAAGGGCGGGCGGATTCAAACGGTCCGCATCATTGTCGTCCAGCGGCGCGGCGCGGAGCAGCAGCAGCATTGCAGTGCAGCAGCGCGTCTATCGGAACGTTGGCGACGAAACGAATTTGCCGGAAGCACGCGAGACAGGCGCTGGCACTGTGGCGCTGCTGCACGGCCGGACCCTGGCGGTGGCGGCGGGCCGAACCTCGTAGCAGCCAGCAGCCCCGCCCGAACGGGCTGCGTCCGTTCGATGACCGTTCGGAGAGCGCTTTGCTTTTAAAGGGCCCGACCGGCCGGAACGCAGCCCGCATCGGAGCGCCACTCGTAATTAGAATAATGAGATTAACTTACCTGAAAGGGCGGTGGTTCGGCGGCGTGGCGGCGGCGAGAGGAGAGGGGGAAATAAGATTAGGCGAACGAGTGCTGAAACTTGAATGAGATAACGGAAAGGGGTTTTACTGCGTCGTGCAGGCGGCGCGGCGCGGGGGCGTGCGCTGTGTACACCTTATTCTCGTTACACCGGCTTTTTAGCAGATGATACCTTGTTTCTTTGTCTCTCTGTCTGCTTTGAAGGCAGGGCGGAACCAAACCACCTGGCTTGCTCGCTCAAAAACATCTTTCACCTAATCAGCCAGTATACTGTTAGGTATTTGTGAAGAGAGGTGCTCCCTGTTGATCACGCGAGGTGGTTTTACCGGCAGCGCGAGCGGGTATAAATTCGCCTCTGATGAAATAAGTTTCAAGGCGCGAAGAGGGCGGCGCCCGCTGACGCCACTTGGGATGGCGTGGTTAGAAAACGAGCCCCAGGCGTGGCGATCAGTGGCGCTGCAGGGTCCGAGGGGCAGGGTGGGAG